CTTCGCCCGCTACAAATCTGCCTTCCACACATACACCTCCTCCCTCCACGCAGCCAAACAAGCCTACTTCCTGACCATCATCAAGACCCTCTCCTCCAATCCTCGCCGACTCTTCTCCACCTTCAACTCTCTACTCTCTCCACCCCCACCTCCACTCAGCACCTCACTCACCGCCCTTGAGATTGCCAATCACTTCAAAAACAAGATTGACACAATTCGCAAGGACATTGCCGCAACTCACACGCCCTCTCAACCTGTCCCCTCTCACACAGCTACCCCCTCATCCCCCCCTCCCCCTCGACATAACCCGCAGGGACTTCGTCGCTGCTCAAACTCCCTCCAACCCCATTCCCCCTCACTCAGCTACCCCCTCATCGCCCCTCTCCCACGGCCCCACCACTGCTCTGACCTCCACTTCCACCCCACCCTACATTCCTCATACTGAAGCTTCCCCAACACTCCGTGCCTTTGACCTTACTACCATCAAGGAAGTCTCCAAGATCCTCTCTGATGCCTGCCTCACCACCTGCCCCCTTGACCCTATCCCCTCACAACACCTACGACCTCCCTCCCCCTCCATCCTACGCTCCCTAAACCACATCTTCAATCTCTCCCTCTCCTCAGGCACTTTCCCCTCCCCTCTGAAACATGCACACATCACCCCCATACTTAAAAATCCCTCCCTGGACCCCAATGACCCAAACAACCTCAGACTTATCTCCCTGCTCCCATTTACATCTAAACTCCTCTAGCGCCTCGTCTACACCCGCCTATGCTCTCACCTCAACGGCAACAACCTCCTCGATCCCCTACAGTCTGGCTTCCGTCCCCTACACTCCACCGAAACCGCCTTACTCAAACTCTCCAACGACCTTCTAACCACCAAAGCTAATGGCCACGATTCAGTGCTCCTACTCCTTGACCTCTCTGCGGCCTTCGACACAGTCGACCACCCCTTCCTCCTCAAAAAACTACACTCCCTCGGCCTCAGAGATTCTGCTCTCTCCTGGCTCTCATCCTACCTGTCACAACGCTCTTTCAGCGTTACCTATAATGCTACCACCTCCCACTCACTCCCCCTCTCTGTTGGGGTCCCTCAAGGCTCTGTCCTTGGGCCCCTTCTCTTCTCCATCCATACCTCCTCCCTTGGCCAACTCATACACTCTCATGGCTTCAACTACCACCTCTATGCCGATGACACACAAATCTATCTCTCAACCCCCCACCTCACCCCCTCAGTGTCTGCCCGAATCACACACCTACTGAGCGACATAGACTGGATGTCGCTCCACTTTCTTAAACTGAACCTCTCCAAAACAGAGTTTCTTGTCTTCCCCCCAGCCCGGACACCAACCCCCATTGACTTCTCCGTCACATCCAACAACGCCACCATCAAACCCGCCCTGCAGGCCAGAGTACTTGGTGTCATTCTGGATTCCAACCTATCCTTCCAGCCCCAAGTCCAATCTTTAACTAACTCATGCAGACTCCACCTCCGCAACATCGCCAGAATACGCACGATCCTAACCCCAGAAAACACTAAACAGCTCATCCACTCCCTCATCATATCACGACTCGACTACTGCAACTCCCTCCTCACTGGCCTGCCTCGGCTATCCCCGCTTCAGTCGATTCTGAATACGGCTGCCAGACTCATTCACCTTTCCAACCGCTCCGTTTCCGCCACCCCCCTCTGCCAATCCCTCCACTGGCTTCCGATTGTGCAACGGATCAAATTCAAAATCCTAACACTGACGTACAAAGCTGTCCACCATACTGCCCTGAACTACATCACTGACCTAAGATCCAAGTATCGCCCAGCACGCACACTCCGCTCCTCACAAGACCTCCTTCTCTCTAGTTCCCTGGTCTCCTCCTCCCATGCCCACCTCCAGGACTTCTCCAGGGTGTCACCCATCCTCTGGAACTCCCTGCCCCAACCCATCAGATTATCACCTACTCTCCCCTCCTTTAGGCGCACCCTGAAAACCCATCTCTTCAGGGATGCCTACCCCACCCCCTGCTAACTTGCCGACCTCCTCCACTCTTCCTACCACTCCATCCCCCACAGCTATCTCCTCCTGTACCACTATCCCCTCCCTCCTAGATTGTAAGCTCGAAAGAGCAGGGCCCTCAATCCCCTCATGTTTTGCATTGTATTGGTATTGTTTTGTCACATGTTCTGTCCCCCTTTGTAATGTACAACGCTGAGCGAACTATTGGCGCTTTATAAATACTGTATAATAATAATATAATAATGTTCTATAAATTCCTTTGTATTGTTATGTGAAATGAAATCAGTAGAATACTCACCCACGTTTCACATCTGGAGAACAGCGCTGTTTGTGCTTCTGAGGACTGCTGGTTGGTGACATTAAAGCAGAGCCAGAAATCACTGCTGGGCTAGAGGTGTGCAGGGGAGAGCTGTGACTGTCTCCCTCCACATGTCCCTGCAGGTCCGGAGAGGAGCAGGGACTGGCGCCATCTTGGGAGGAGGGGGCACCCGCTGGAGTGAAGAACTCCGTTAATTTGCGGGGCCCCTCTTTTATCTTTTGTTTGCCCATCACTCTCACTCAGTACCCCACACTACCCAGGGTAAATAACAGTGTCGGCGAGTTTCTCCGCTGTCACACGTCACTCTGAAAGGCTGCAGTGCTCGGCGGCTCCAGGAGCTCTCCTTCTATGCGACCATCTCCGTCCGCAGCCGGCCATGTCCCCCCAATTGTACACATTTTCCCTGACTTATGCATTAAACATTTCTATGTAGAGTCAACTAGGCACCACTTATTAAGAGGGATAAAAAAGGGACGTGAATATTTTATCCTATTTTGATAACAGGACCGGCATCTTTCAATTTAAGGTGAAATGTTGACCTAATTGCCAATTTATTACACATGGTCGTTCAGATATAACGGACAATAAAAGCAATCTTTTCCACATTAAACAGTTCATAACGTATGAGACGGACTTTGTAATATACGGGTATTTACAGTTAGCTTCTTACTTTTGCTCTAACCCGGTGACTTTTTGTCAAATCCCACGTAAAATTGCTCAATGTTATCGAAAAGGACAGAACATGAAGAGAGGGATAGCTATTTTCTACACCCTGATACAACATAAAACTGTACTTATTAAATCTTCATCTTTCTTAGCATGGGAACGAGACATAAGAGCGATTTTTACTTTCAAACAATGGGAACAAGCATTCCAAGCCACTTATGTAGCCACCAAAAAAATGTTAACCTATGGGAGATTATACAAAAGCTTTGCCTACAGCAGTACTTAACGCCTCACCATATTTCAGAATTCAGTCCCAATACTTCAAATTTGTGCAGGAGAGGGTGTGGTCAAATAAGCATGTTATTCCACCAACTGTGGTCTTGCAAGCATCTTGCTAAATTTTGGACTGACATTTTTCACATATTGACTGAAGCAGCAACCACCACTGGTATCTTTTTGGATTACTACTACCAGAAATTTCCTGGTTTCCATGCCTAGACAAATGATGTCATACATCCCAGGAGCCTGGTTTCCATGCCTAGATAAATGATGTCATACATCCCAGGAGTCTTCAGGAAAAGAGGGAGGGTTCTCAGTTTAGACTTTCCATGAGCTAAGGGCAGATGGATTCCAGGAAGTAAATGATACATGAATCATCTGCCCTTACTCAAGATGGCCACTGCCAGAAATGCCAGGGAGACATGGGTGGATGGGGGAAGTTCATTTTAAATTTAAATTATTTTTAATATACAATTTTTGTTTTGTGGTGCTCAGATGCAGGGCAGTTTCACTTTAAGCACCACCAAAAGAAAGCGCTAGCTGTCTGAAAAAATTATATAAAATTAAATTTGGGCACAGTATTGCATGGCTGAGTTAAGTCAAAAGTACACTTTGTATAACAGTACTGAAAAATGACCTGGAAAGGAAGGTGGTTTAACATGTTGGTCCTCAAATGGTTAAACAGTCCTTAATTGAAATTAAATTAAAATCTAAATTGATTCCCCTAGCAAATAGAATTTGCAGCATTAAACAAATGAAGACAAGTTTTATTATTTTGTTATAAATCAAGAAATACTGCTATTATATTTCTTCAATGTTGACTTTTCCAGCTTCTTGACTTACATGTAAAAAAAAATCTTTAATTAAGATTGGACCCCTGGGAATGAAGTCTCTAGGGCTCTTCTAGATTTGTTTATCTATGTATATATATATCTATAATTATATATCTATAGTTGTATATGCCAATACCTTGCACTCAGATTTCTCAAAACGCTTTTTATAATATATTAATTCTTTAACTGTCGATATATGTTTACATTTTACTTTGACGATGGCTGAGAAACTTCAAGTAAGTATACACTATACATTGTGTTAAACACAGCACATTATATAATAATAGTAACCCGAGGATTTATAATGGTTCATACATGGTCATTTTCAAATCTTTCACATTGGCTTCCCATTTAATGTATTCCTGGTCAGGGAAGTAAGTTTGCCTTGCCATGGAATTGAGAATTGTGAGCATGCCATTTATAATATAATGCACCTATAGAACATACAGTATTTTCTATGACTGTGAATTACTTTAGTTCATTAAATTTAAACAATAAAGTAAAACAGAAGACTTCTATATTTGACTAGTCAAAAGCAAATATTATTTGTAATGCTTTAAATTATTAATTCTGTTCAATCTGCAAAGCTCTTTAAATGACAGTTCTTGACATTATTATAGGGATCAAAACAAGATCTCAATAAGACCACAGTGCAAGAATTTTTTTTAATTGCATTCTCGGACCTAAAGCAGCTCCAGATATTACTCCTTCTCTTTATTTTGGTAGCATACATTATCTGTATTGCAGGAAATTTTACCATCATCATCTTAGTTCGGATTGAACCCTTGCTTCAAACTCCAATGTATTTATTCATAGGTACATTTGCGTTTCTTGAAATGATGTTTGTGACCGTTCCCATACCTAAGCTTCTGGATAATTTGATTTCAGGAAATAAGAGGATATCTTTCATTGAATGTTTTACACAGATGTGTATTTACGATGGTTTGGGTCTAACAGAATGCTATATGTTATTGGTCATGGCCTTTGATAGGGACTTGGCTATTAACAATCCTTTACACTATTCTACTATCATGAAGAAGGAAATATGTGCTCTATTAGCCGCGGCACCATGGGTTGCTGGTTTTGCAGCTTCTTTTGTGACTACTGGTTTCATGGCCCAATTGGACTTTTGTGGGCCAAATCAGATAAATCATTTCACCTGTGATTTGGCTCCACTTCAAATTTTGTCTTGCTCCGATCCTTCCATAAGCAAATTAGTCACAATATTAACAGCCACTTTTGCCAGCATTCTCCCATCCATCATTATCACAGCTTTCTATGTTCACATTATTAATGCCATCTTAAAAATCAAGGGAGCTGAAGGGAAACAAAAAGCCTTTTCCACCTGTTCCTCTCACCTTATTGTGGCCAGTCTCTTCTTTGGATCAGCTCTTGTGGTGTACAGCATACCTTCCAGAGGGGAAAATGACAAATTTCTTGCTCTTATATACACAGTTCTTACCCCTCTCCTAAATCCCTTCATTTATACTTTTAGGAACAGTGATGTGAAGACAGCAATAAATAAAATCTGTGTTAAATATGTTTATCCTGTAGTCCATAAGCCACATTCATAGTTTACATGACCATTTCATATATTGTACCTTGAGGAATAATTATGTGAAAAAAAGGAGGTAAAAACTCAATAGGTAAGTAAATACATTTATTCTCTGGCATGATAAACCATTGGGATTTCTTGGAATTGTTGTAGGCCATTCTTGGGGTTTGATCAGCTCACTCAATATTCAGATGATTATAAAGCTGATATATTATCTGCTGACAGCAATTAGCAAAAAGTAACTTGTTGTAACTTATCTCTTGCTTCAGAGGTGCATTCACCATACATTTTTCTCATGCAGCAAAAAAAGTGTAAATAAATAGGTCTAATACAAGAAATAGTCAATAAAAAATGACATTGTCTTTAAAGAGTAAATACACTGGCAATAAAATAGTAGAATTCTATTCAGAATTTGTAATTTTGTTCAATTTTCTAATTGTTCCTGGGGGTCATTATTTTTGACCATAGCAACAAGAAATTTCGAATGGAGATGGTTTCTCAAAACGGTATATGTGGTTTTCATTTATTTCAAAGTCCATTTGTTTCAAAATTGAATGTTAAAAATACAGTAAACAAATTTGGAAGTACTTTCAAAACAATATTCATTAAGTCATCAAATGTACCAAATATTTTTTGTGCAACTGTTCATTTGATTATCTACTTATACTTGTATTGTCAATTTTCCAAACAATGTGATTGAACCAGTTCCAGTCTGCTCAATCCCAAAAAATGTCTCATTTTAGAGCTCAAGTTAATGATTGACAGAAACAGCATTTGTACCCATTGTCATAGTAATATATTTGGAAGAAGCTCCTTGCCAGAGAGTCAGATATATTTATTTAGCATTAATCTGTAAGCTTCATACTCCAAGTCTGGAGTGACTAGTCGAAGGGGGATAAGGTTGAAGGCATGGTAGCTTTATGGAGAGCCAGCATGACCAAAGCTTCTTTTGAATAAAGCAGTATAATTTTTGTTGCTTTAAAGTGAAAGATAGCAGTGTTTTGTAACACCATTGTTCCGGGAGATTCTAATATGTTACATATTACTCACCCCATGACGGAAGCCTTTCACTATCAGGCTTTTTGATTAGTTGCATACCGATGGCACTGAACTGCATTCTTTGCACTCTGAAACACTGATAGTTGTAACTCATCGAAGGGTAGGAAAAGAAGCTGGAAAAGATCATATATGGAGTGCTCAACGGAGAAGGTAAAATGAGGAATGGTTCAATGACACAGGAGAGAACTATTGTGGTATTTGCCGAGGTGTGGGGGTTGACTTACTAATTGAAAGACTGTTCACTGTGAAAGGGACATTTCCCCAAATTGGGTCGCTTCACCCCTGCACCTGTGATGACCCTCCCATACTTGGACCCAGAGACACTAACACACAATTAAAATGGTCTTTATTTAAAGGCAGAGCCCTTCCTGCACCACATCATGCAGAATTGTTCTGTTATTTGTTGGGTCTCAGTTATGTATGGTTACTCTATGCTAAATGCTATGTTTCGATTGTTAACTCATATCTGCTGTGCAAAGATGTGGATATCTGATAAAAATAAAATAACTATGATATCCTGAGGAAGTCATGTGGTCTAATCATGACGTAATGCGTAGATACGCCATTGGGAGCTTGAGTGGCAGCGCAACAACGTCACATCCAGCGAAGACGCCATCTTGGTGCACCCGGATACACTGACACATGCAGTACACCCATGCTGTAGTGGAAAAAATGCTGAGATTTCTACATATGTGAGTAGATTCAAGTTCTTTCACTTCAATAAATGTAAAGGTTTTACACTATATTGGATGTTCTTGTCTTACTGGGGATGTGTATGGAGAGCTATTGGCCCTAGGAAGCAGGAGTGCTCAGTGGAGACCTTGTTTATGGAGGAGGAGAGAGTCCCAACACCACTAATAACGAGGAATCTATTCTTTGGAGCAGTAATACTGCAGGGCTCACTGGCCCTGTGGGGCCTGGGCAGGAAGGTGAGGAGGCACCCCAGATACTGAGGATTGTCACGTATTGGTCGCACACCTGCATGAAGAGTGTTTTTTCCATTCAAAGACACTTATTTGTCTTGTGTTGTGCATGTCACATATCCCTTTAAAGGATTTATGCACTTGTTTAACACTTGTGTTGATCCATATAAAGGACCACCGCACAATTAGGTCATCTGTACTATTGGTGCCATATCTGTTTTGAGATATATATATATATATATATATATATATATGTATATATATAAATAAAATGATATTACCATATAGCGCTGCACTACGTATATATCTATATTATTCTGGTGCTAAGGTACACCTTTTTAGTGCTGGCTGCATACCTTCTTCAGATATTAGTGCAGGAATTTTCTCATATATTTTTTGCATAAAATAACTATGGAAATAATCTTTTTTTAGTGGTTAGTTTGATATGGGTTTGGTAGCTAGAAGGTGGGTATTGCCCCCCTCTCTGTATTTCCTGGCAGAGTGACACTAGTGTAGGGGATCAGCTCGGCGCAGGCGCAGTGCACCGCCGTGTGCAGGGACGCGGGCGCTGGGACCTGGTCGACCGCGGCAATCGAGTTCGCGCATGCGCAGTAGAGACCGCGGGCGCGCGCCTGGCACCAATGACAGCGCAGGGCGGGATATTTAAATGGCCCTGAGCTGTCATTCAGTGCCTTCTGGTCTCCTTGTATCCTGTGAACCTGTTTCTAGTGAGTTGCTGACCCGGATTGTGCCCTGACCTTGCTGCTTTCTCCTGTCTTGACCCTTGCTTGCCTGACCTCTCTCCTGGATGCCCCCTATTGGATCTGACCTGCTGTTGCTGACCTGGTGTGTGACCCGACTATTCTCTGCCCGCTGCTCTGTACCGCACCGTCCCCATAGTTACCGACCCAGCCTGCCTGACCTTGCACTTGCTCAGCCATCCATCCATCCATCCCTCTCAAAGGGGTCTCCAGACCTCCTCATACCTGGCTCTCTCCCGTGGGAGCCCCTGGCGAATACCCCTACCACTGACGGGTGTCCTCAGTAGTCACGACCTGGTCCCGGGGTACTCCAAGTCCATCCCCACCATCAGGGGCTCTGGTGAACAAGTACTCTGGGGCTTAGACTCCGTACGCTGGGGATGCCTGATCAGTGGAGTGCTAGTGGTACCGGCCGGGCGGTCCCTTACGGGGTGCGTGTGGTTGCAGCTAACTGCTAAAGATCCAGACGTGTACCTATCGGGTCCTAGGGCCTTACCCATTGGTTTATAAATTAAATTGTCTAAGTATCTTCCTGGGTGGTGATTGGGGCATTCAGTAGGGTCAGAAGTGCATGGTCAACCGTAGGCAGAGATATTTGGTCAAGGAAATCCTCCGCATTATCTACATCTATAGGTTGCTGACCATAGAGTTTGGCTTAAAAGCATTGTAATAACTGATTTATCTCCCTCGAGGTGAAGATGAAGTGACCCTGTGAATCTTTAATGGAAGAAATGTGGGTAGGGGTGTGGGGCCTCTACACAAATGGGCAAGCAATTTCATCACCTTGTTACCATATTTGTGGTATTGTAGGTCTAGTTGAGACTGGTGGATACGTTCCTAAGCTTCTGCCCATAAATCAAATTGGCACTTGGCTTCTCGCCAGGTTTTCCAATTGTCCGGGGTGTTTTTTTTGTGATGTGTCTAAGCTTCTGGTCACTTACCTCACAGTAGTGCTTAGTAACCTTTTTTTTTCTTAATGTGACAGAAAAGGCAATGATCCTACCCAATATAACTGCTTTGCCAGTTTCCTAAAATAGGTTGGGGTTTTGCTTGTGGTTCGAGTTAGTGACCTCATATTCAGACCACGTGTCTTGTGGGATCAGAGGTCCTGTTTGTGGATCAGGTAGGAGGGAAAACACCACAATTTAACAGAGATCCGTAGGGCAAGATCTATTAGGCGAACTGAGACTGGGCTGAGCCGGAACGGGGAGGAGCCGCAAAATGGCGCAGTAAGCAGAATGGCTGGGGAGCTCTGGATGCCAGCCTGCCAGCCTGCCAGCTTGAGTGATGTGTCCCAGGTTGAAGGAGCCTTACCTGGACCCGGAGTGGAGTGCGCCTGAGAACCGAGTGTTCAGTTGAACGGAGCCTTGGTGAGGGGGAGGTGTGGGAGTGGGTTTTCAGATGGTTCCCTGTGGTCTGTAAGCCAGCTGAGGACTGGTGGCGAGTGAGGGAGAGAGGCAAGGACCTCAGGAATTCTGAGGGACCCGTAGGTGCCTGGGAACTGCCTGAGCAGTGGAAGCGTAGCTCCCTGGAAATGCCTGGGAGTGGGCAGCTGTGGGACCAGAGCCCAGTGTCACTGATTTGAAAAAAACCCACAGAGCTCCATTACCTCCCTCACTGAATCACACTGTGCACCCACAATAGCTTCTGCATAGCCCAATGTGGGAGAGAACAACATTGAGCAAAAGACACAGGATCTGAAGGGGAAAGAAGGGACAGCAACACAGAAGGAGTTCGAAGAGGAGGGTGAGTTGCAGCAAGACTATGTAAAATATGTTCATGAACTGTTACTTTCCTGAAACATACCAATATAGTTATGTGGCTACTGTTTTGAAGAAGAGACAATAAAATATAGGGGTCCTGTGGACTTGTGACCCAGGAGGGACCAATCAATAATTCTACTAGTACGTACTAAAGTCTATTTAGTATTGCTTCCCAAGGAAGAGAATTTCTAGCGATCTGTCGTGTGGGAAAGGCGAAGAGGATTATATGGGCTGCAGTGTATTGCAACCTTTAGGTTAAGAGGTAAATAAAAAAGTAAAGCCCTAGAAAAAAAATGAAAAGTAGACCAACTAAATGGGGTGGTTCTAAAACCTCCCAATCTTCTGTGAATTCAACGATTAAAAAATACTTGCCCATACAAGAAAAGAAAAGCCCAGAGTCGCAAACTCAAGAGAATCATTGTGAAAGGCCAACCCAATAATGGGAAGATCGGAGATGGATCATTTGAAAATGGACAGTGTATAGGATTAGACGGCCAAAAGGGAATCCCAGTA